AAGAAACAGACCTATAACTTCCATGAAGAGCATAAATTCATACAAGCACGTTATGACATGATAAACAGGTCATACATTAATTACACACATGCTGCCGGGTAACAGAAAAACTGGACGCGCAATATTCTCGTAAAAATCATAACTTATTCGATATAACTCGGAATCGAGAAATTTCAAAGCCCAGATACAGACAACCGAACATACTACATTTCTTAAGAAGATAGCAACTTCAAATAACCACCCTCTGATGGCTTAAACTGAGGCACAACAGAAACAGCGAACATGCGAATTAACAAGAAATAACAATGAACATATATAACAAATGTTCTAAGCTCAACCACGATTAATATGACTTCCAGACAGAAATAAACGAGCACAATATGTTCATCACAGCAACTACATGATACTCGATTTATAAAAGATGAGAGTTATCAATATTCTCGAAGATTTTGCGAGACAAACCAACGAGTAAGAACGAATGAAAACGAACAAATTATAACAGGGAAAATCAGCCATTACCTGATCCCCACGAATCTACCAGCACAAGTGGTCGGATCATCAACATGAACTCGACACTTAGACTCCACTCTCGATTATCCTTAATCGGGTTCTAACACGCGTCTACTAGTTCAAGCCACAATAGTCACAGACTTCCGAATAATCCACACACCCGGGACTTCTTCATTTGTCTGTACCCTTTACTTAAGCCTTCTCTTTCGAGGTAGCTTACGAATGAAATCTCATTCGATGGAACTAAACAGAAACTCGTAATGAGAACACTGCTATAGACCGAACTTAACTCGATAACACCCAACCAAAAACTCACAACAAAAAAAAAAATCTCTTAAGTCGGCATTTAACTCTGCACCACTAGAGTTCAAGTCCGAATAAACGGAGGGTAAATTCCTAAGCCCCAATAAAAGAACAAACCATAATCACGTCATTCACAATAATCAAAACAAATAAAACTCATACCTTGAGCTGGTGCGGCGAGACGAAGCGAGTGGTCGAATGGTCATTAAACACTTAGTCACATATGAACCAGTCTACAGAAAAGCAAGACTGGCTCTGATACCAAACTGTAACGCCCCGTTTTATTTTAAAGAATTTATCGAATATATTTAATAAAAATCAGAGTTTTTTTTTTTTTTAAATCCAAGTTAAAACCTTTTTCGAGAAATGGGCGCTACTTCCTAACATCAACCAACAACACACATGCACGAGCTAACAATAAGACAAATACCAAAACATAAGTCTCAAACCATTTTAAAAGGTCTAGCCTTATTCAAAGTTCAACCAAATCCTACACATACATAAGCCAACAGTTATACAAATAAACCAGCTTATTCAAGTCTCAACATTATCCAAAAAGTTTAACATAAATCCATGGTTCATCCAACACAAACATGTTTTCAAGCTGAAGCATAAATAATCCAAAATAAAAGCAAGTAGTTCATCATATAATAAAAATAGGCGGAAGCAAAGACACATCAATTAATGACCACCATCTCGCTCGTCCTACGCCACCGCCTCCAGCTCGTCTCAACCTAATACAAAGGAAGAGAGAAGACAACAAGAAAATAATGGGGGTGAGCATAACCAACAAGCTCACCATTATCGCACAGTATATCTCGCATAACATTTTTAAACCATCATAACCATAGTATTCAGTATGCATAGAATCCAACAGTCTAACTCCCTACTTGGCCCTATCGCAAACCTCCTATGTACATACAACAACCTTCCGACCAAACATCGGCAAGGCCGTAACTGGAAAATTTCCCCCACCCCGAACTACTCACGGATCATGGGAGTCCACCCCGAACTACTCACGGATCATGGATGTTTTCCAGGAGACAGTGGAGATGTTTTTCCCCCCCGAAACTCACACGGATCAGGGCGTCTCCTCCCGGATACAACGGGCAGGTGACCTCTCACTGTTATGCATTCGTCAAAGGCACTATCGTTCGGGACACTTAGACTAGAGTTCTCATGCATACATTAATTTTCAAAAGAAAACATTACACGAAATAATGAGTGCGATAAATATGGAATACATCATAAATGTACCCACCTGATAGCAGCAACAGTTCACAGGATCACAAATCCAGAAACGAGGCGAGGTCAACACCTCTTAAACACCTACATTATGACAAGATCCTACAATCAGAATCTATCTCGACTTAAATCAGAAATCACAAGACAGACCTAGTCGAACTCGTTTCGACTAAGTAGTTCGTGAAGTCCTGTGGATGTTGGAACACTAAGACTCGGCTCTAACCTCGACCAAAAAAACATAAGGGAGTTTACATAAATCCATCTAAGGATTGACAAAGTCAACTCACATAAAAAAACGAAAAGCAAGTTGATTCCCAAAATTTCATATAAAAATCATGTTCGGAAATAGAAATCATTTAATCGCATGAAAATAGATGGTCAAGCTACCCTACAAGTTAAGCTCTGAAAATTTACACAAAATTTCATCTCCCAGAAACATGTAAAACCACAAAGTTTCAGCTTTAAACTTGAAGTACCCTGTTTTATAAAATTCGAACAAGATATCAGCAAAATGGGCACATTAATTCATACTCAGACTTAATGAATGAATCTGAACTTTAAAATTTTACACAACAATACACAGCAGGCTAAAGTCCATGTATAAAAATCTCAGCCTTAAATGTTAACTGTTGCTATTTTTACAAATTCATACGAGCAACAGCAGTTTATCAAATTTAAACCCAAACTGAATCAAAACGGACTCCAAAAATTCTCATCTTTTACAAACATGTTCAAACGCATAAAATAGGCTTCTCAGTAAAATTCCAGAATTTTCCAAGAAGTAACCAATTTATAAAAATTCAAACAACGTTTCTGCAGATTCGATAAATAAAATATTTACCACAATAAATCAACTCCAAAAATTCTATAAATTTAACACAACACATATAAGTCACAGAGGCATCACATATTCGAATTTAAGCTCATTCCATTCAAGCAGGAATTTTTTATGCATTTAACATTATTCTGATCAGATTACACTTTAATTATTAAAAATAGCTACAGGCCTCTAAAAATTACGAAATTTTTACACAATGCAGGCAATGAACAGATAACATATCGCTCAAAATTTTAAATCGTTTCGAGCAGCGAGCTATTTTTAAAAATTCGAATACCGAAACAGCGATTTACAAGCTCGACAACTTGGCAATTAAATCACAACATAAAATTTCTCGTCCGAGGCCTTTTCATAAGACCAAGGACTCGACATTGTTCCAATATCCACCGACTTACACGACTTTTGAGGTCTCGTTCGATTTTCGAGAAAATCGAAGAGATCCCGAACATACGAACACATACAATCACAACAATTCATATAATCGCACATATTCACATAATAAATTCACATCATATATAACACGAGCACTTCACGAACATGAACAATTCAACGAAACATATATGAATTAAACGAGACGGAAAAACGACGAGGTACCGTTCTCGGGAATCGAGCGAGAATGGTTCCGAACAGGCTCGACGGTAAACTCGTCTCGCCGGAAAAAGGAAGGCTCGATGTGCACGGGAAGGAGAAAGGTCGCTGTTGCTGGTTCACGGGCTCGTCGGGAAGGTCACTGGACGTCGCTGCTCGGAGAATTACCAAGCTCGCCGGAAAAGCCACAAACAGAGATCGGAACAAGCTTCACGGTGCGGCAGGGGAGAGGGTCGCGGCGCGGCAGGGGCTTCAGTCGCGGCGTGGTGGTGCGTCGCGGCGTGACGGAGCTTCAGTCGCGGCGCGGAGGGACTAGCAGGCTTAGAGCTCGCCGGTCTAGTTCAGGGTCGCCGGAAACAGGGGCTCGCCACTGGTTTTTGCGCGAAACAGGGGGTCGGAGACGGTGATGAAGACGATCGATGACGAGAAGAAGGATGACCGGCAAGGGTGATGATGAGACGATGATGAAGAACGAACGAAAAAAAAATATCACAACGTGAAGGAGAGAAAGAAGAATTCCGATCGAACAGAGGCTGCGGGTGTTTGATGAGAAGAGAACAAAAACGAGATGGCAGATATATATATATATATACATATACTTGTATTAGGTTTTGATCTCTTGTTGTCCAAGACAAACACAAACTCACGCCCAAAAGGAAAAGAGAAAAAAATCTGTCGGGCCGGGCCCGAGAAGTTGGGCCAAATTTGGATTTTTGGGCCGGTTGGGACAACAAATCGGCTCACGGGCTCGATTAAAATTTAAACGGACATTTTCGGCCAATTTCGGTTCCAACGAAAATTATCGGGCTCGATTTCGAATGCAAACGCGCGATAAAAATAAACCGGACAATGTATATATATATTATCCATATTTTTATAGTACACGATAATAATTAAATAAATCACAAAAATCAATTAGACAATTACACAATTAGCATTTAATCACATTTGACAATTAATAAAACATATTGGCATACAAGAAAATAAATTATAAATATTATCACCAATTAATAATAACAATAATAATAATAATAAAAATAATAATAATAAATCCCAAATAATTCACAAATAAACAGGGCATTACACCGGTACCTGCAAAACACGCTGGGAGTGGTCCCGGCGTGGACACTCCGACGCTCGGAATTACGTGTGCGTGTGTTCTTGTGTAAAAATAAAAGAACATGTCCCTTATATAGGCCCAAGAGCCCCTGCATTACGGGACTCTAAGTCCAACAAAATCCTCCTCCTATCCATCTCTTGGCAAGTTATCCAACCAGAGTTCTATCCACGCTCAACCTCTTTAAGTAGATCCTGAGCATCTTGCCACACGGACACACCAGCTCGACTTTTCTAATGACGATAGCTCGACCTCTCCTTGGTTACGCTGAGCTGCTTACTCAGAATATTCCACTTAAAGTGCCAACTTTCTGATAACTAATTTCCTTAACGACCTGCTGATTTCTTAACGAAGCGAGCCGAGCTTACCCATACTCCCATTATTGCAGCTATCATTGCTATGAGCTCGCCAGGGATCCTAGGTTAGCTCGGTCGGTCGAACATATGATTAACATCCAAGTCGCATATTATATGATATATCAGAGAGGTGGCATTTTGCCTCTCAGGCGAGGTGCAGCCGTTGCTGCGCGGCTGTGGCGGCGAGGATGGCTAGAGATAGGTCGAAATCAGAATAATTAGGTCACAGGTGCGCCGCACGGATTACGCCTAGATCCTGTGGTTCAGGAGGTTCGACTCGATTGACTGGCCCGCACCTGAAGGAACTCGATTTCTCGCGCAATTCTCGCGGACGGAAACCCTTGACTATGGCTGCTCGCTGCTGCTCGTGGGAAATAACGGTGGCCGGTGGTACGCACGCGACGGATTTCGGCTGTCGTCCGCTTGCTCGAGTGGCTGACGTTGGTGGCGGCTCGCGGTTGATGTGGCGGATGGCTTGTTCTAATGCACTCGTTACTCATGATATGTGCGGGCATCTTCGGTGGATGGGCATCTTGCGATGGGCTGCTGTGCGTCGGCCTCACGGCACGACTATTCGTGGAGATGTTTCCGGTAGAGGGATGCTGTTACTCGACTAGTCGCGGAGTTCTCCTTAGCTGTGCGTGGAGTTGCTGTTCGCGGGGCTTGCGCTAGCTGCAGTTTGTCTTGCGGCTCATGTGTGCTGTCGGTGATGTTCGAGGATTGCAGACATCGGCGGCCTGCTCGCATCGTATAGTTCGATGAGGCTCCTTGGTCGCTTATCGGAGGTGGGTCTCGGCTGCTGATGCGTGGCCTCGACGGCATTCTCAGTTCGCTGTGGCTGAACGTGGAGGATCTCAGCGATGGTTGGCGGCTACGGATGGCTTGGTGACAGCAGCGTACGACAGGGCTCGTCGGCATAGGGGAGTTTCGATCGAGGGCTGTCATTGGCGGGTTCGGGCCGATGGCTCGACTCACGTGATAGAGGCTTAAACTTATTCTTCTGTATTTGAATTTCTTGTGTTTCTTGGAAATTTAGGATGGGGAAACAAAGGCTTTTGCTAGAAGACTTTTTGTTGATTATTTTCGTGAAGAGGGGCAGTAAGAAGATATCACATGCTAAGGTCTCAATTAAGGAATAAGAATTCTCTCGTTGTATCATCTTTCAAGATGCCGAGAGGAAAGCTTCATAAAGCAATAAGATCATTTGGAATTCTTTTCAAGGATGTATCTGGACAAGTAATTGGTTAGAGAAGTTTTAAAATTAAAGGACGGTACTCTTTCTTGGTCAAGGCGGATGACAAGGAGAATATGAAATTGATGTCTTTCCTAAGAGGGAGTCAAGTGATTAAATAATCCATAAATAGAAAAATACATTAAGGCACAATTAAAGTCGGTCAAAGAAATCAAGGAGGAATTGAAAATCTTACCAATTTAACTTATGGAACTGTAGAGGGCTGGGTAGACGGTTATGGAACTGTAGAGGGCTGGATGGGCCGTCTACCGTTTCTGAATTGAGGGACTCAATTAGAGTCCACCACCCACAGTTCATTTTCTTAGCTGAAACAAAAAGAAAAAAAAAATGTTAGAACTATTTGTAATAAGTTGGGGTTTAGGAGTAGGTGGTCTACTGTGGATCCCTTGGGTTTGAGTGGTGGATTAGTTGTTTTATGGGATAGAAGCATAAATATTATTCAAATTATCTTTCACTCCTTTTGTTTTGAGATTGAGGTAGTTGATCAGAACAGTGGGGGGCCTTTGTGGATTGTTCTTATCTATGCAAGCACAGATTGAAGTGTTAGAGTTGAGCAATGGGATGTCTTAGTTCAAGCTGAAGACAAGTGGGGTTCTAACTGGGTGATTGGGGGAGACTGGAATGCAATAGTGCACAAAAAGACAAAGTAGGTGGAAGAGAGAAAGACATTGAGGAGGTAGTTGAATCTTATAATTTCATTACCGAGATGGAATGTATGAGGTTGGTATGCAGGGACACCAATTCACCTGGTGCAACAACAGAAGATGTGATGACTTCATAGAGGTTAAACTAGACAGAGTATTTGCCTCTTATGACGGGATGTTTCAGAACAAAGATTCCTTGGTCCTAAGTTGCCTTAAAACTGCATCTGATCACAACCTACTTGTTCTATCTGATGAGGGTTTGAACAACAAAAAATGGAAACCAAAGTTTCAGTTTGACAACAGATGGGTGTCTAAGGAAGGTGTGGAGGAGGTAGTTAGAGATAACAATAAAATTAAGTAGAAATGAAATAATTAAGTGTAATTTTTAAAAAAATTAATCACTAGATTTAGATTAAAATATTAATTTCACATTACCATGTTAAACCTAGGCTTTCAGTTGCAAGTCCCAGCCTCCCCCCTATATGTTATTTTGAAAAAAAAAAATATAATTTTAGTCATGTTGGTTTAACAATATAGCAATTATAGACCAAAGATTTCTATTTTTCGCCTTTTAGTCTTGTAATTCAATATTTTGCTGCAATTTCAGTCATTTGAGGATTGAAATTGCAATAAAAATTTAAATAACAGGATTGAAATTGCAGCAAAATTTTAAATTACAGGACATAAATTGCTAATAAAAAATCTGAGAATTTGCTACAATTTCAATTCTCAAAAGACTAAAATTGCAGCAAATTGTTGGAACCTCAAGCTTAAAATTACTATTTCGTTAACCTAGGAGGACTCTTCAATTTTGGTAAGTAACTACAGACCAAACTCTCTCTCTAATTCGCAACTCTCTCTCTCTCTAACCCCGTTTCCCCTAATTTCATCTGCATGAAACTCTAGCCCGTCAGATCGTCGATCGCCTTCTCCAGCAGGCCACCGAGGCTTGACGGCGGCCACCCTTTGGCCGCGCGAGTCATCCCTTCTTAGCCGATGTCGTTCTCCTTGCGCCTGGTGGGTTGGTCGTATGATCCCGGAAGATTCTCGCCGCTTCCTTGGTTGCTTTTTGGGTCATTGGTCGTCAATCTCTTGGGCGACATGGCGGTGGAGGCTCTGCGGAGTTGGGTTGCGATACCGACGATCTTGGTTAGGGGGTTGGGGTTGAGAAGAATTGATTATCCCCTCTGTCCCTTTTGTCCCTGATGCTTGGACTGAGGGATGGCCGGCATGACGAGCTAAGCCCGTGGTGTTGGCAGAGCTCAGAGCGGTGGTATTGTGATGGGGGTTGTCCAGTTTTTCTTCGGGTAAGAGGTGGGGACGATCGCCTGGATGCAGGTTCGAGTTCGTGGGTGTTAGTCCCAGTTAGGCATGTGTTGTAGTTTCTGGTTCTAAGACTAGGGGCGAGAACCGGTCCGTAGAGGTGGTCGGCTTATGTGTCGTGGTCGTAGTTTGCTCAGTGCTTTTGTCCATCTGCAGGGAAGGGCCTGATTTATTTTTTGTGTGTTTAGGTTGATTGTGTGTAGTTGTGTTTTTTATGTGTTTCTCTTTCTTTTGGCGTTTTATTATCCGTTGGGATCTGTGTATTCTCCTGTTGGGAGTAGGTGTTATTGTGGGTAGGGGTGAGCATGGGTTAGTACCGTTCGGAGATTGAAAAATTTTCGAAATCGTACCAAAATTCGGAGATCACTAAATATGATCTCCAGAATCGTACCAAAAAATCGAGACAGCACATCGACGTTGCCAGGAGAGGATACTAGAAGCGAAGTGACGTGAAGGAAAAAAGAGATGTAGTAGTACCTCCTGGGATATGTACTAGTCATCGCCTTGAGTCCGCCCTTCGCTTCAGTTCGGTATTCGGGAATATCAGAACGGTTCTGTTCGGACCTTCAAAGATTTCTTTTAATTTTTATAAGCTTTAAAAAAAACAACATTCATCAATACTTCCTCATATTAAATATATTTTTTTTTTTGAAATCAACTTTAGAAATAACTCTAAATTTTAGTAAAGACTAAATTTCTGCAACTAATACTTAAAATTTAAAATAAAATATAATATAGTTCTTTCGTAAAAAAATATTCTTCAACCTTTCCTAATATTTAAAATAATTTTTTTTATGACAGGAGAAATTCAATTGTAGATCAAATATTACTAAGCATGAAATTTAATTGTGAAGCTTACTTATTATTACTATATTTTATTTGCATTTTGAAAATTATCAAATTATGTAGGATCAAAGTTGACATAAAATATATTAATAACACACATCTAATGTTATAATTCGGTTCTTCAATTTGGTTTTGTGGGTTCGATACGACATGAGACAATTCGGTACGGTTCTCAGTACGAATATTTTCTTAAATCTCTAGAACCGTACCAATTATTTTTTCAGTTCGGTTCGGTTCGAAGAAAGTGAAATGGTCAACGGTTATTTTTCGATCTGATTTTAGGAACGGTTTGAAATTCTTCGAGTCTCATGCTTAGCCCTAATTGTGTGTGTGTTGTGCTAGGCTCCCGTATGGGATGTCCTCCAACTAGATTCGACTTTTGACTGGCTTTTAGATGTACTTATGTGTTATTTTCTCTTTTATAAAAGTCTATCGTGTCGAAAAAAAAAAACTTAGGAGGACTAAAAAAAATAACCCAGGAGGACTAAAAATGCAAATTTGCATTTTATTTTTTATTTTTCTTTATGTTTCGGCAAACTGTACCACATCCTACACACGATCACAAACAATCTCACAAACAACACTTGTGCGGCAGCGGGGACAAGATTTGCGGGGTTATCAACGGCGAACGGAGGTGATTTGGTTTAAAGAATAACTCAAAGGCAGNATTTTTATTTATAAATTTTATTAACCTCTAGAATTCTATATTTCTAATAAAATTAAATAATTATTATTTTTTAAATATATTTATTATTTAATAAAAATTAATTTTAAATATAGAAAACATTGTATAGCAATTATTATTTTTTGTCTCAAAAACTAAATTTTTACTATCAAATGTTGTTATATACTCACGGAATAAAAATTGCAACAAAAATAGTAATAAAACTATTTTTTAATATTTGGGACTAAATTTCCAACAAAACCAATCTTATGGGACTATATTTGCAATTTTTTCAATATTTGTGACTAATGACAAACGGTGACTTAACGTTCAGTTAGATTTGGGACCAATTGCGCAACAAAAATTAGTTAAGGACTGAAATTGCGCCTCTTGGGACTAAAATTACGAATGTCCCAATCTAACGGGACCAAATTTGCAATTAACTCCATTATCTTATGTATGGCAGAACCTAATTGGAGATTGAAATACAATGAAATATGATACATGCCCATTAATACATGAATGAAGAGTGGATTAGCTAACAATCTTTTGTTGTTCGTTTCCAAGGGCTTACATGAACTGTTTGCTGAACCCATCTTTCCGTTAGATGCTTTTTGTTTCAATAAGAACTGGCCGAGTCAATTTGTCTTCTTGTGTGGTTTCCTTTGTTTTCTTTTCTTTCCAGGAAGTAACAGATGTTTAAGAATACATTCCAGTCTGGCTTTCTCTCAATTCTCTATAGCCTCGGGTATGAGTTTCGCTGCAAATTTATTGTTACACATGGCATCAGTTTTCTCTCTCGCGTGGAGCCTTTTTATGGTAATTTTGATTTTAGTGTTTTTATTGTGGGTTATTTTCATTTTTCAGGAGTAAGCCTCTGCAGATATGGGATAAGGAAGGTAAATCCTTTTGGTTGTCTTTTCTTCTTTTGGCTTAGGTTCGGTCACTAGGTGGCCCTTGTTATAAATATGAATTTTGATTACATAGGAATGAGCTATGAACTTATGATTTCATCTCCTGCCATGAAATTACAATATGAAATGAAATGAAATTACAGTTGAATGACTTCAAAAGATCTACAGAAACTTGCGGTCATCCGAGGCGAGTATGCTCTGTGCATAAGACGAAAAAGCCATTGGTTTCTTGGTATCTCGTCCCTAATGATACAATGGGTACATCTTGGAAATTATAGCACACGAGTTTCAAAACTCTAGTGAACTTGAATGGAACGGAACATAACATGAATATATATATGTGATGCAAAAGGCTTTTTGAGTTGCTAGTATGCATATGAATGTTTTGTAAAACCCTTGCTGCAGCTAGAAATGTCCTATAGGACCTCCACCTAGCAGAGTAGAGTTAGGGTTCTACTATCTTAGGTGGTGTGCAAAAAATGAAGAGAAAATGGTCGGGTATTGATTCTCCGTTTTCAAGTGTTGAAAACTTAACTTAGGTCCAACATCTAAGATGAATACTGATTTAAATGACTTGCTTCAATAATTTATTTCTCATTCACTAAAAATTAGTTTTGTGAAAATAAATATACCATCAATATCTATCTACTTAGAACATATACTATTTCTACACAATTTAATTCTACACGAGTTTAATTTTTAGCCATTAAACAATAGTCAAAGTATCAAACCAATTTAAAAATTTCTAAAAGTTTTTACATGAGTGGATATCCATGTATGCATCTATGCATTCATGTGCTTAATGACAGATATGTCATCGGACGTTTTCACACACAAATGGGCACGTCTTGAACTATTTCTTCAAGATGATCATTGGCACTTACACCTTGACAACACTTTAGATTTGTAAGTGTTTACAGGGTCTTTGAACACTTATATAAATGACTTGCCTATTAAGAGTACCCTGTAATAACATTCTAACCTTGTAAAGGTTAGAGACTCGTTCAAAGTCTTGAGGACTTACCATCACCACAGGTAATTGCATTTTGATTGCTTTAGGGATGAACTTTTTTGGAAATTCTTAGTGTTCCAAGTGATTAGTTTAATTTCCATAGCTTAGTTATTCCCTTGAGGTTGTGAACCTAGTTCATAGAATCTCAATTCAATAAGGTAAAGTTACTTCTATGATCAATTTTTTAGTGTATATTTTTAAGACCATTTTATCTAGCACTATTAGCAATTGATGTTGTGTGATTCATGTAATTAAAGGATGGATCATATTTTTAGATTTTACTCAATCAATGGAAATAATACCATTTGATATCACTTGCCCAACGTAGTCTAGGGGGAATATGTCAAGACTTACCAATGCATATTTCTTTGCGCTATTCCTATAGTTGTATGAACAGTAGGTGTAGGTATAGGATGATGGATGACCAGGAGGAATAGCAACAATGTCCGATTGATTTTGAATCCGCGGATTTTGATTTGAATTGGCGGATTTTAGACCAAAGAGCCACTTCCATCTAGGTTGTCATCACCAAATGAGAATTTTTTCTTGCAACTGTTATGACTGTGTATTTTGATTACATAGGAGTTAGTTACGAACTATTGATTTCAGTTCTTACAATGAAACTATAAAGGTGAAATGAAATTATACTTGAATGGCTTCAAAAGTTCTTAAAAAACTTGCGGGCAACCAACGCGACTATATTCTGTCCACAAGACAAAAACGCTCCATATATTGTTAATGGGTTCTTGGCATCTCTTCCCGAAAACCACAACTAATACACAACGGCTATATGGATTCTGTGTGTGTGAGATAGGTCTCTTAAGTCTTTCATCCTCCAACAACTAACTTATAATGTAAATTTAAATGCTAACTTTAATAATTTATTTTGCTCATAAAAAAATAATTTTTGAGAAAATAAATATACCACTAGTATATATTTGGAACATTAGAATATTTCTACATAATTTAATTCTATACGAATTAAATTTTTTTAGCTATAAAAAAATCAATCAGGTCAAATCCATCATCTAAAACTGATTTTCTTACAGCTTTTACTACGAAACATGAGTAGATATGAATATGTAACTTGTTGATTTAGTGTCTATTTGGTTTAGTGTTGCTGCCAGTGCCTGGGAACTGCATATTTTATTCACGTTTAATCTGACTCTTCGCTTTCATGGGTTCTTTTCATGATGCTGGTTGTGAGGTTAACAAAATAGTTTAATTTGGTTTCTTTAGTACTTGTTCGTTTAGTTTGGTTTCCTTAGAACTTGTTCGCAAGTTAAACAGCATGACGTGTTGGATTCATGCTGAAGAATTAATTATATTTGTATTTAAAAATTCCAGAGGGAAAATAAACAATTTAGCATTTTGGATTCAATTATGTTTACTGATATTAGTTATTTAGAAAATCAAGAAAGGTGCAGAGATTTGCTACAAAGTGCTCGGGACACTAGTCTAGGAAGTCTGCTAGTAGACCCCAATATGTTAGTGGGTTTTGTTTTGGTGATCAAAGAGATATATATGTGCCTAAGTGCACTTCTTGAGCTAGTAGAAGCTTCCATTAGTCTTTAACTTGTCATTTTCTTGGCAAAAATCTTGCAGTTGTCAACGGCCAGATCAAGCGTTTGCAAGATGATGACATACAATCCAATGTTATTGAAATAGTTGGGTCAAATGTCCAGTCTGCATATATTACCTGTCCAGCTGACCCAACTGCAACGCTCGGCATAAAGCTACCATTCTTGGTTTTGATTGTGAAAAATCTGAGGAAGTACTTCTCATTTGAAATTCATGTGCTGGATGACAAAAATGTCCGCCGAAGGTTTCGCGCTTCTAATTTTCAAGTCTGTAAGTCTTCCTTTTGGTAGTTTTTGCAATTATTACTTGATGTATGTCATATTCATGTTGCCTATGTTTTTAGTACGCATCTTTCTCGTGCTGATTTTATTTATTTAAGAATGCATATGTTCCATGCACTTTACTCCGCTCCAGTCATGCTTTTTATGTTGTGACATGTACATTGGTCAAAAGCATCGAAACTTATCTTTCACGAACCATTAATATGTTTTGGGCAGAAGGTTTACTTGATTGGACTTGGAATATAAAATTGATGCAGTGCTTTCACATCTATAGTCGTCTGATTCATTTTAAATTGAGAATTATATTTTTTTTTTGTTTATGTTTTTTTGTTTTGTTTTCTCTTTGTACTGTTATTATTGTTGTTGTTGTTGTTGTAAAAAGAGTTTTTTTTCACTGTGTTTTAGGGTGTGACAAGAGTTAAACCTTATATTTGCACAATGCCATTGAAATTGGATGAAGGCTGGAACCAAATTCAACTGAATCTTAGTGATCTGACTCGACGTGCTTATGGAACCAATTATGTGGAGACGTTGAGAGTGCAGGTTCATGCAAATTGCCGGCTCAGAAGGATATATTTTTCGGATCGCCTTTACTCTGAGGAGGAGCTCCCGCCAGAATTTAAGTTGTACTTACCCATGCAGGTAGGCTTTCGGAAAATCATTTTCTCAAATTATATTACTAATTCGAAATTTGTATGGATGGACTGTGAGCTCATGCTGGCAACTTTGTTATTGCAGAAAGCCTGAGAAAGCTACGGAGATCTGGGGATGATTCAGTATTTATGGCAATAGAAACTATTTCATGTTATGATGTGAGAAATGCTCGTTTCAATTGAATGTCAACTTATTTATAGTTATCTAAAGAAGATTTTCTTAGGCTGGATCTAGTGAAAGTGACTGTAAGCTCCAAAAAAANAAAAAAAAAAAAAAAAAAAAAAAAAAAAAAACAACAAAACTGTGCTGTGTTTGAACTCCTGATCCAGACTGAGCACTGACATATAGTTTAAGTTGTGCTTGTGGTGGATTTTTCGAGAAATGTTTGAGTTTCAGAAGGCCTTTTTCATTCGAACTCGTATTGAAATTCAGTGGATAATGTGTATTGCTACACTAAGTCGGTGCTAAAATAATTATATTGTGTACTATAATTTTAAAATATATATATATATATTTTTTTTTCCGTAGAATGTAATACATTCAATTTTATTATTATTATTATTATTATTATTATTATTATTATTATTATTATTGTTTTTGGCATTGGAAAATTTTTAAAAAGAGACTGTGCGTGCATTTATTTAACTAGTAAAGTGTATGTGCGATGAAATATAAATATAAATATAAATTTAGTAATATAAATATAAATTAATTTATTAAAAACATCATTGCATGAACGAAATAAAATGTAGAACAAACGAGTTCCTAATTTTTTTTTTTTCCAAAAACGAAAGAGGACACTATATTAACTCAAAGCGAACATAGTTCGAATACAAGAGTCATCAAACATCAGAAATAGAAAAGTGGGAGATACGCATCAAGCGATTTAGAACCTTAACCAAGAGCAAACTAGAAAATAACTAAGAAAAAACAAAGAGCTAAGTCCCCGCCACTGCTACAAAGCCTAGCAAGGAACTCATCTCCAACAAAAAGAAAGAAAATCAAACTAATGAAAAGAAGCTGCAACAGAGAATTCCAACCAATCTGCCTGAACTATCTGAGTGAGTTTGTGCTCCGGGATTAAAGTATTTTGAAAAATCCACAAGTACCTCGACTTCCAAAGCCACCAAAGCATATATGTTGTGAGTTGAATTCGAGCTTCAACTAGTTCAGATTGGTCAAGGGAACAAACCTGATACCACCAAGCCCTAAAAGAGTTGTGCTGTCATTCACCCCATCCCAACTCAGAGGGCTCAACTGCCAAACTCTAACTGCTCTGCAACAAGTGAAGAGAATGTGTTCAACAGTCTCAGCTGCTTCCCCACAGATAGAGCAAGTAGTATCAATCTCCACCCCTCTTTTCTTTAAGTGGACAGCTACTGGGAGTACCTGATATGCACTTCCAAAGAAAGTGCTTAATTTTCCTTGCTATTTTCAATATCCAAAACCTGAACCTAGTAGCTTTCTTAATAGCCTTATTGGTGCTGCATTCAGGAAAGTGAGAGTGCAATACTTTTAGACTACAGAGATGATCATAAGTACCAGAAACAGAATTGTCCTTTGTGGTCTGAACCCCAATATAGTCTGTCTTGTCTATGTGGGTGAAGGGTTGAGATGCTAAAGATAACCTGACTGTCTGACTCATTAAACACCTGATGAACCAGCCATTCATTCTATTGAGACCCATTGTCATTCATTAGTTCTTTAACCCAAATTAGATGATCTCTGGCAATTGGAATAAGAGTAGGAGCTGGTTTGTTAAGATTTGGAACCCAGTTAAAATCAACAATTCTAGTTCTATCCCCATTTCTGATCTCAACTTTGAGCCATTTAGCAAAAAAATGCATCATTTCCATTCAACAATTCCGCATCCGAGATCCACCTTGAGTTTTAGAAGCATGCACAAGAGAAGATTTAGGGAAATACCTGTCTTTAAGAAGCCTGCTAACAAGAAGGTCTGGATTTGTAGCAATCCTCCACAATTGCTTGCAAATTAGTGCTCTGTTTAATAACTGCAAATCATGAAAACCAAGTCCACCTTTGTCTTTGGGGAGAGAAAGAAAGCTCCATTTTTTCCAGTGAATCCCTTTTGCCTGCTCTGTTCCAGATTGCCACCAAAACTGAGCACAAAGTTTGGATATTTCAGCACAGAGAGAGACTGGCAAAGTAAAGCAGGACATTGTGAATACATGTAGAGCTTGGATAACTGCTTTTATAAGAACTTCCTTCCCTGTTGAGCTAAGTAGCTTGGCCTTCCAGCTGGTTAGTTTCTTCCTCACAGAAGTCAACAAACACTCATAAGCTTATCTTTTTGATATACCAATCCCCAGAGGGAGACCAAGATATCTTGTAGATCTGTGAGCAACTATGCCATTCAAGGTTCTGCAAATGGTTGTTTGAAGATGCTGAGGGGTGTTTTTACTGAAAAATATTTCAGACTTCTGAAGATTCACCACTTGCCCTGTAAAGAGTCTGTATCGCTCAAGAATGTTCATGAGAATTCCAGCTTGATCAGAACTAGCTTTGCAGAAGAAGAGAGAATCATCTGCAAATAAGAGATGAGAGAGCAAAGGGCCATGTCTAGACAGCTTCAACCCTTTCAGAATACCATTAGCAATTGATTTCAGAATGAGAGCAGTGAGCAGTTCAGCTACAATTATGAACATGTAGGGGATAAAGGATCCCCCTGCCTTATTCCTCTAGATGGGATGACAAAACCACTGATGGAGCCATTTACTTTGAAAGAAAATGAGGCAGTGGATATGCATATCATAATAATCTTAACAAAATCATAGTGAAAACCCATTTGGAGCATTATCTTCTTCAGACAAATCCATTCAACACGATCAAATGCTTTGATCAAATCCAATTTCAGAGCCATGAAATAATTAGGACCAGTGGAATGTCTGTTTAAAAAATGAAATGCTTCCTGTGCAATTATCCATTATCTGTCAATTACCTACCCTCTATGAATGAAGCTTGATAATCATTAATACATGAGGTTAGGCAACCTTTCAGTCTGTGAGCCATTAATTTGGATATGATTTTATAGACAACACTGCAGAGACTAATAGGCGTAAATTGGCTCAAAGATTCAGGGTTATCACATTTTGGAATCAGAGACACAATTGTGTGGTTCCAGTACTGAAGCATCATACCTGATAGAAAGAAACTGGTCACAACCCTCATTAAATCTGACTTTATGAGGGACCAAAAGTATTGATAAAATCTGGCAGTCATGCCATCCTCCCTTGGTGATTTGTCTAGTTGTTGACTAAACAATGCCCCTTTCACTTCTTCTTCTTCCACTGGTCTAAGCAGTGTTTGATTCATTTCAGCAGTGATACAAGTAGGAATGAGATGAAGGAAAGAATCACCTCCCCAACTACCCTCTGAAGAGAACAGAGACCTGTAAACTTAGCAATTTGCTTTTCAATGTCAGTCTGAGATGTGTGCACTCTGCCCTCTGCTGAGATTAGTCTTGTAATAGCATTAAGGTTCCTCCTCTGGAGTTTGATCCCTCAGCCATTTGTGTTCTGCCTTTTGCTGCCAATATAGTTCTTCTTGGAAATGAGCCTTATTCAGTTTTCTCTTGGTAGTGATCCATTCATCCCAGTTGTGCCCAGCCTTATCAGCATTTAATGTTTCCAACCTTTAAGTGAGCTCAGCCATATATTTCTGATTTTGGGACTAGAATGTAGAACTCCAAATGAGCAAGGCAATCCTGGTATTTTTTATTTTTTCCTTGAGTTGGAAGAATGGAGTACCTTCCATAGTAATGAGCCAAGCTTTTTTAACCACTTCTTCAAACCCCTCTTTACTTATCCACCGTTTGTCAAAATGAAAGGAGGACTTCATTGTCTCTCTTTGCAACCCCATTTCTAACAGAAGAGCTGTGTGGTCAGATGAGCTCCTTAGAACATTATGGACAGCTGCATTAGGATAAAGTTGTAACCATTCCATAGAGCCAAATGCCCCATCAAGTTTCTCCTCCACCAAATCAGGGATAACTCTGTTTTTGCACCAGGTGAATGGATATCCTTCAAACTTGACTTCTTACATATCCATGGCATTGATAAATTTATAGAACCCTTGGAAACTGGTCACATTTCTAGAGTTGCCTCCTGCTTTTTCAGTATGGGACATCAGGTCATTCCAGTCTCCAATTGAGAAGTAAGGGTGACCCCAGAGTTGCTTATCTATGATCATTTCTTCCCATTGAGCCTCTCTTATCACTCTGTAAGGGCTAAAATATACAAAAACTACCCATTGAGGATTAGTAGAATGCAACTGAAAATTAACAGCAATATAAAAATCCTTACACTAAATTTGATTTACAATAACATTAGAATCCCAGCACAAAACCAACCCTCCATTGAGACCTACTGGATCCACTACAACCAACCTATTATCATAACCTAATTTTTTACAAACAGACTTAACAACAGCATTTTGTTTTTTGGTTTCAGATAAAAATAGAAAATTTGGGTGGTGAGTTCTTAATAACTCTCTGATTTGGGAAATTGTAGAGGGCCCACCCAGCCCTCTACAATTCCACACCACAGCTAACATTGATCATGGTGGTCCACTCCTGGCTGGCAACCCCCACCTTTTCAGACTGAGCTTTGAGTTTTTTAGAGTGAACCTGATTGGTAGTAGCAACTTCATTTGATGCCTCATCTGGCTCATTTCCAGCTCTGTTTCTCTTCCCTCTGATTAGTTGATCAATAATAAGAGGAGGTTCTGAGGCTCTCTGCAATCTGCCAATTTTTCTACCCACTCTTTTTCGGTTTTTTTGGGTGTGCTTTTTGCTAGCCCGGTGAGTTTCTGGCATGAAATCTGAAGTATGATATGGAACTTCTTTCTCAACCTCCATAACTGAGGATTCCACTATCTTAAGGTTTGTGTCCTCCCTATCATCTCTCGGAGTTGGCACCTTAGTAGCTGAGACCAAGGATGTAGCAGCTACTGACTTTGTTGGAGATACAGTATTCTCTTGACTTGGAATTAATTGATTGCTTTTATCAGGTTTGCTTGATGAAACTCCCTGTGCAGTTGTGTTCTCAGCCATAGAAGGGAACTCCCTTGGAGGAGATGATCTTGAGCCAGAGAGATTACCCGGTGCCCATTTTTGCCCATCTGCTGCCCTCAGCCAATCGCCATATTGCCCTTCTTTCATAGAATTATTTGCTACATCCTCCATCTTCTTTGAACAACCTCGGTCCAAATGACCTATCTTTCCACAGTAATGGCAAAGGTTCATGAGCTTTTCGTATTTAAAACTGACATTGACAACCTGATCACCCAATCATATATTAAGTACCCTGGGAATTGGCTCCTCGATATTCAAAGTGACCAGTAATCGCAGAAGCTTCCCCCCATGATTGCCTAATGAAGCTAATACAACATTCCTAAGGCTCTTGAATGCTTTACCTATTTTGAAACCCACTTTAGAGCTTAGCCAGTTAAGAGGGATATTGTGCACCTAAACCCAGAGGTTAAGTTCCTGAAAACTTGGGTGCTTGCTGGAAATTCCGTTAGTCTATTCTCTGAGAACTAAATACTGATTTTCAAAGCTCCAGTTGGTACCAACCGCCACTTTTTTCATGTCTTCTTGATTTTAGAATATGAATTGGAAATAGTTTGGACTATGCTCTTTCACTTCCATAGGCTGACTGAGCTTCCAAATCTAGGACATAGCACGCCTAATTCCAATCCAGCTTGCTGGGCGATCTCCTATTACTTTACCAAATAACTTCTCTGGCATTCATCGTCACTGATGCGGGTATCATCTTGAGTGATGTCCACAACTTTAGCCTCTCTATCAGAAAGAGAGAAGTCTTTGAATCGATCAGAGAGATCATCGTCTTGATTGGTATGCGAACAATCTTCCATATTAAGCAAACCCTAACAGGCAAAGCGACTAAATTTACAAAGGGAAAAACAAAACTGAAGGAGGGATTCAGTTAAAGGGAGAATTAAACACAAAATAAGAAGGAGATGAGGGAAAATCAATGAAATTCACTGAAAATCGAAAGAGAAATCGCCGGAAATTGATCGCTCTCATAGAGAGAATATATCGCTCTCATAGAGAGAATCTAGCTTCTACAAGCATGCCTAATTTTTTTTTTTTTTTTTAAATAACATTTTATAATTCCTAATACAAAAAGAATAAAATAACATATTACAACCCTAAAAAAATATAAGAAAATGAACTCCTAATGAAAAAAAAATAGTAAATAATTAAATAAGGACATAATGTATATTGTAGTTGCACTGATTCTTTTATTTATTTACGTTATATGATTCAAGAGTGATTTTCTTACATTTTGTTTTTGACCTTCTCAATATGAACATTCGCATCCATTGTAGCCCAATACACTAATAGTATTGCAAAATTTTTAATAATTCATTTGGCAAAATGTCTAATTGCTTCAAACACTTGAAAATATTATGGCCAAACATATAGCCTATGTTTGGTAGCCAAACAAGCTAGCTTATAGCTTATTTGGTTAGATTATAAGCTCACTGTATTCAAATAAGCCCCGTTTGGTATGACAAATATTTTTTTTTTAAAATTCCGAGTTTATTTCATAAGCTTCTTTAGGTAGCTTTTCAAATAAACTAGTTGAATATTTTATTCCAGTTAGCTTATCAGCTAATTTTACCAAACATTTTTATCATATAAGCTAGCTTTTCAGCTATAAGTCATAAGCTATAAGCTATACGTTCCAAAATTACATATAAGCTATAAGCTAGCTTATCAGCTATCAGCTAGTTTTACCAAATACAGCCATAGTCAAACTTCATATATTTATAAGGTATTTTACTAACAGTTCATAAATATCTCTGTGAAATAACCAATCGTGTCATTAAAACTGCTGATATTTTTTCTAATATATGTATGAACTACTACATTACTTTCTCTCTCTCTCTCTCTCTCTCCCTCTCTCTCTCTTGATATAGACAATTTTTTACCTCTTTATGCAGTGTGAACGAATTTCCTCTTCAAATAAGAGTAAAAATACACTAAAATATTGGTAACATGTACGTCTCCCGAGGCCGTAAATTATTATTTGAACTCAGTACACATTATTGAAAGTACGCACTCTAAATTAATCGCATATATATATTCGAACACAATACACCAAATGAGATTGTAAATATTCATATATAAAAAGTGAACTTCATTTATACATTAAAAATGTTTTGATAAGGTGATGTGGATGAAGGACTAATACTTAAGAATGCTTATAATAGACTCGTTATGCTCGTATTAAGGAGACGGGGCAACTGGGTGCAAGTTCACAAGGACGACGGGCCGACGCACCATTGAAGACCTTGCAGCGGACGGGCGCACAATCGGATGACCACGCAGCCAAAGACAGCCTCGACGACCGCGCACACAACAGGGCGTCACGCAAGCATTGTGCTGCAATGCCCGTTGTGACCCAACAGAGGCCACAGTAGCTCCAGGCCTCGCGCCGTGACAGCACGACGAGAACCAGGGGCTAGTCTGCAGTTTTATTATTTACTTAATGTGCTTTGTTAATTTATGTTTCTTTGACCCTTGTTGTAATTTTGGTATTTTTATTTCTTTAAAACTCTTGTATTCTTCTTTGTAAAAACTTATGCAATAGGAAATCAAAAACCGCTCGCGTTAGAGTACGACTCTCGTTTTTACCGCCCAATATCAGTGCCAAGTTTCACAAACACGAATCTATCAATTCATGATCTTCACCATTGGTGCTTTTATTGAGAGAATCAATTGTGTATCATCATGTTGAACAGGTTGAGAATCGTCCGATTTGAAAAAAGTGTACGTCCAATCAACAATGACGTACAATCAACAAATCAAGGGGTGGCCAGGATCGAAGGGATGCTTCTCCGAACCGGCGGACAATGAGCGCAGAGGGTCGATGACTCGGATCAATCATCGAATGAATCAACTGATTCAAAAAAGGAGCTCATTCATAATGAGTTCACCGAGGACGACGATAACCGTTCACGAGGATCGAATCATCGAGAAAGGCGCAGGAGTGAGAGGCTAAATTTGATTATGCCAACATATAACGGGATAGACGTAAATTCGTGGCTGAGCCGCGCCAATCATTATTTCGAGATCATCAATATACTGAATGCAGAAAGGGTTAAATTCTCCGCCTACTATCTCGATGGAGAGGCGAACATATGGTGGCAGTGGTTATCAAGGGTTTACAAGGAAAAGGACACCAGGGTTTGCTAGAAAATTTTTGAAAAGGGGTTGATTACATAGTTTGGGTCGTCAGATTACCATGACTACGACGAATCCCGATTGCATATCAAAAAGTGGAAAGTTTACCTGATCGCTAGAAGGAGTTCGAACGAACCGCGTGTCGTGTACGTGATTGCCCAGAAGGGGCATTAGCTGGAGCATTTATGTGATACTTAAAGCTTGATTTGGCTACCAAAGTGAGGCTGGAGAGACCAAACCCACGGAGGCCGCACCCATGTGAGAGGACCACCTAGTAGCCCTGCGCAAGGCCCGTCGAATGGAGATGCGACGCCCAAGCCATTTTTCCAGTATGCACATAGGGTCAGAGACGGAATACTGGCGGGAAGTGTGAGGCCTTTAAATGCTGAGGTTAAGAGATTATCTTGGGACGAGATGAAACAAAAAAAGGGTCTATGCTTTAATTTCAACAAAAAAATTTGCATCGGGTCATAGGTGCAAGGAAAAGAAGTCATTTCTAATTGAGTTCTTGAATTTAACGAAGAAGAACAACAAGAAGAAGAAGAGCCAATGTATGATAATGTTCCACAAGAAGATGGCTAGAGATCTTAGTCCAGGCGATAGCTAGGACGCAGGGTGTAAGGCCCGGTTATTATTATAATATTAAGACGATTTTTCACTGCTCGAGTTTTAAGTGAAAATTCATAAATTAAGAAGTCCAAGATTTATTTATTAAGTATATGCTAAGTGCTGGGCCTAGCGTCCGCGCGGCCCAGCAGAAGCCGCGCCCAGTGCTCCAGCGCCCAACCAGCGACATGTAAAGTCCCGCGCCGACCCGAGCAGCCCCGCGCGCACGCAGGCAGGACACGCGCACGCAGCAAGCGCATGTGCGCACAGCACGCGCACGCACGGGGCCAACTTGTGCTTTTGACGACTTAGGGCGCCCCATGCCTAAGTCTTGTACATAGACTTGTAGTAGGGACATGAAGGACCTAGAACCTTGTAGAGGCTTATAGATAGGGCAAGAAGTATGTAGAAGGTTCTAGGCCTTGTGTGTATGAAGTAGGACTTTTGTAGAAGGGACTAGAACCCTCAAGACCTTGTAGGACCTAGAAGGTTCCTTAGAGGTGGTGGTGCCTATAAATAGGAGAGGCCCCCTCATTTGCAAAGCATCCAAGCAACCATCAAGCACTCTTGTACAAAGTTTGTGTGAATAATAGTACAAGCACTTTCCTTTCATTCTCCCTTGCATATTCTCTTGCCAAGCACTTGCACACACCGAGCACGTTCCAAGCACGGTGAGGCTGACTTAGCTAACTGCGAAGGGCGCACGAAGGGCTAAGGCCGCACGTAACCAAGGTTCGAGGAATGAGGGCGTGACAAGTGGCATCAGAGCCACGCTCGGTACCGTGTTAAGTATGGCCGGAGATAAGGAGCAAGACGTGTCTGGGTCGGGTGTGACTGAGGAGCAGACCCGAGGGCGGGAGCCCTCCACATCGACCAAAGACAAGAAGCGCCGAGACCAAAGCCGAGCTCGCGCCGAGATCTCGTCGCTAAAACAAGCCGTTGGGGAGATGTCCGAGAAGCTCGAGAGGGTCGAGTTTACCTTCAAGACGTTGGAGACGCACGTCCTGGAGGAGCTTGAGTCCGTCAAAGGCACCGTCAATGATGGGCTCGATGCACAGTGCTTCACAGAGAACCGTTTGGACCACTTAGAGGAGTTTAAGGGCCACATGGAGGACATCGTGAAAGGCCTCCTAACCAGCATCGAGGGGATGCATAAGGACATCGAGGAGATGCACAAGGACATCGCCGTTTGCAAGAAGGCGATTGCTAGTGGGGAAACTAGCAGCACCATGCCTGCACCAAGGGTAGAGTGCCCGAAGCCAACAAACTATAATGGTGTAAGGGACGCCAAAGAAGTTGAGAACTTCTTGTGGAGGATGCAACAATACTTTGAGGGCATAAATCTAACTGACGAGGCAACCAAGGTAAAGACTGCTTCCCTTTACCTTTCTAATACTGCTATGTTATGGTGGCGCAGGAAACATGGCGACATTGAGCGAGGCACATGCCGGATAGACACCTGGGACAACTTTGTCAAAGAACTCAAGCGACAATTCTATCCGGAGAACGTAGTATACGAGGCGCGACGCAAGTTAAGGGAATTGAAGCAAAAAGGGTCCATAAGAGACTATGTCAAAGAATTCACCACCCTCTAGCTTCAGATCCCCAACATGACTGAGGATGACTCGCTCTTTTTCTTCGTGGACGGACTCCAACACTGGGCAAACCAAGAGCTACAACGCCGGGGCGTCAAGACCGTCGATGATACAATTGCCGCCACCGAATCCCTCATCGATTTTCGTCCATCATCGTCATCTTTCGATGCCACCAAGAAGGACAAGAAGTACCCCACTAAAGGTAGGGGAGACAAAAGGGACAATAAGAGCCGAGACCCTCGAGACCAGCGACAAGTGCCGGCCAAGGAGGATCGGAACGCGGGACGCCATAGCTACGAGGAAAAGAAGCAAGCATTCGTCCCAAAGGGAGGCTGCTTCGTGTGCAAAGGATCGCATGCTATGAAGGACTGCCCGAAGCTTGGCTCCCTCTCAGCCATCGTGGAGCAGCACGAGTCGGAGAACAAAGAGAAAGCACCCTCAATGATGGGATCACTACAAGTCCTCAATACCCTCGAGGCCAAGCCCGAGTGCACCACGAATAGCAAGGGGCTCATGTACGTGGAAGCACACATTAACGGGACGCCAACTAAGGCCCTGGTGGACACAGGGGCCAGCCACAATTTCATTACCAAGGAGGAGGCTATAAGGTTGGGACTATCGTGGACCAAAATGGCTAAAGACGGTCAATGCCAATGCTCGTAGACTTGAGGGAACCGCGAGTAATGTGGGTCTACGCTTAGGGACATGGCAAGGACGCGCGAACTTTTCCGTGGCACCCCTGGACGACTTTAAGGTGGTACTTGGCATGGATTTCCTGCGACAGGTAACAGCGATCCCTATGCCTTCCTTTAGCACTGTTTGCATCTTGGAGAAGGGATTCCCTTGCATGGTTCCGACTATCGAGGGGGACAGCGGGAGTGCCAGAAAGAAACTCTCCGCAATGCAGCTTGCCAAGGGGGCAAGGCGAGGTGAACCGACATACTTGGCAGTGCTAAAGGAGGACAAGTGCGAGGAGAATTCCCCGAAGGTACCACCCATCATTCGAGAAGTCCTTAAGGAGAATAAGGACGTCATGCCGATGGAACTTCCGAGCAAGCTACCACCCAGGCGAGGGGTAGATCACAAGATCGAGTTAGAACCCGACACCAAGCCGCCTGCCATGGCCCCGTACCGGATGTCACCCGAGCTTGAGGAATTAAGGAAGCAACTTAAGGAGCTCGTGGAGACATGGAAAATCCGATCGAGCAAGGCACCTTATGGCGCACCCGTACTCTTTCAGAGGAAGCATGATGGGACGCTACGCATGTGCGTAGACTATCGGGCACTAAACAAGGTGACAATCAAGAATCGCTATCCCATCCCTTTAATTGCCGACTTGTTTGATCGACTTGGGGGAGCCCGAGTGTACACCAAGGTGGATTTACAGAAGGGTTACTACCAATTCCGCATTGCCGAAGGAGACGAACCCAAGACTACGTGCATCACGCGGTATGGGTCGTACGAGTGGTTAGTAATGCCCTTTGGACTCACGAATGCCCTAGCTACATTCTGTACGCTCATGAACGAGATCTTTCACCCATACTTGGATCGGTTCGTGGTGGTCGACTTAGACGACATTGTCAAATATAGCAATTCAGTCGAGGAGCACGCTGATCACTTACGCACCGTGTTCAAGGTACTTCGGGACAATGAGCTTTACATGAAGGAGTCCAAGTGCATATTCGCCCAGGAGAAAGTAAGCTTCCTTGGACATATCATTGGCCATGGACGAATCAAAATAGACGGGGCAAAGGTGAAGGCAATCATGAAATGGGAAGCGCCAACAAAGGTAACAGAATTACGTTCCTTCTTGGGGTTAGTTAACTACTATCGCCGTTTCATACAGGGTTACTCGGCAAGAGCAGCATCTCTTACCGACCTGCTCAAGAAGGAGAAGTCGTGGGTATGAACCAACGAGTGTGAACGAGCCTTCGAGGATCTCAAGGTCGCGGTGAGCCAGAAGCCTATCTTAGCATTACCTGACTTCACCAAGCCCTTTGAGGTTCACACGGATGCCTCAGATTTTGCTATTGGGGGAGTATTGATGCAATATCGGCACCCTATAGCGTTTGAGAGCCGAAAGTTGAATGAAACTGAGCGACGCTACACGGTGCAAGAGAAGGAGATGACAGCCATCATCCACTGCTTAAGGGTGTGGCGCCACTATTTGCTAGGGGCACATTTCAGCATCAAGACGGACAAAGTTGCCACTAGCTACTTCCAAACCCAAAAGAAGCTCTCCCCAAAGCAAGCCCGATGGCAAGATTTCTTAGCCGAGTTTGACTACTCGTTGGAGTACAAGCCGGGGAAGGCAAACGTAGTGGCCGATGCACTAAGCCGAAAGGTCAAACTTGCTGCCATCACCAAAGCAGACGGAGACATCCTTGCTCGAATTCGAGAAGGGCTCGAACGGGACCCTGTGACCAAGGCACTCATGGACCTAGCCAAGGAGGGGAAAACCCAACGCTTCTGGGTAGAGGACGGTCTACTCTACACAAAAGGGCGACGATTGTTCGTGCCAAGGTGGGACGGTCTATGGCAAGACCTCATGAAAGAGTGCCATGCTACCAAGTAGGTGGGTCACCCAGGCCAACGGAGGACAGTAGCCTTACTGGAGTCCAATTATTTCTGGCCCAAACTTAAAGACGATGTGGAGACCTACGTGAGAACCTGTCTTGTATGCCAGCAAGATAAGGTCGAGAATAGGCACCCAACGGGACTGTTAGAGCCATTGCCGATACCCGCAGGACCATGGGACTCAATCACGCTAGATTTTATAAGTTCCCTACCACAGTTAGAGGGATACGGCTCAATCATGGTCGTCGTGGACCAATTTTCAAAGTACGGGACATTCATTACTTGCACCAAGGACTGTACCGCCGAGGAGGCTGCCCGAGGATTTTTCAAGAACGTGGTCAAGCACTGGGGGTTGCCTAGGAGCATCATCAGCGACAGAGACCCCAGATTCACGGG